CAAAATATCTAAATAAAAATCTCTTTATGAGAAAAGCCATTAACTGAGAAAAATGTTTTTAACATAAGCATGAAGAAAAGAGAAAAACTAAAGAGAAAAAAGAAAAAGACATAAACTAAAAGACTTATAAAGCAAATTCCTACATTTAAAAGTTAAGATTTTACTAGTAGTTGATAAATGTAAATTAAAAACAAGTGACATTTTAACTGAACAAAAATTTATAAATTCTACTGCCAGGAACTTGTGGCTAAGTACTTGCCTAGTATGTGCCAGGCCCTGTTGTAGGGCAAGGGTTGCCACAGGTAAAGATACATACAAACCTGGCACTAGGAATATAAGATGGACCTTCTGGAAATCATTCTAACAGTGAACTTCCTAAATATTCATTTACTTCACTCTTACACTTTAGAGTCTTATAAGTTCTACACTAAAGTAAAATAAATTAAGCCTTACAGCTGGGTGGTGGTGACACAGCCCTTTAATCCCAGCACTTGGGAGGCAGATGCAGGTGATCTCTGTGAGTCTGAGGCCAGCCTGGTCTACAGAGCAAGTTCCAGGAGTAGTATTTATTACCAAAAGCCAGAACCAATTTCATCACTAATAAAAACAATTTCAGACATTCTTTTTTGCTTGTTTGTTTGTTTGAGACCTCGGACAGGGTCTCTAAATGTAATCCTGGCTGTTCTGGAACTCACAAGGAGCCAATTGCCTCTGGTTCCGAGAACTGAGATTGAAGGTGTGCATGAGCATACCTCGTGATGCTCCAGAGACATTCTTACAACTCAGATTTTAAAGAGACAACATAATTAAAAGTTGGACAAAGGATTTGAATAGACATTTCTCCAAAGACGATATACAAAGAGGCAGTAATCTACTGATGAATAACATACTGCTATTATTGTTCTTTATATACACATACACACACATATGTACAATAAAAACTTTAGCTGTGTGTCAACTTTGAAAAAAGGTATCTCAGTTTGCCATGTTGAATTGGCACTGTACAGAAATTAATAGCCATATTGGTCTGTAAATGTTAAATTAATTTTTCTGAGGCTGGAGAGATGGCTCAGCAGTTAAAAGCACTGGCTGCTCTTCCCAGAGGACCCATGTTCAATTCCCAGTACCCACATGGCAGCTTATAACTATCTGTAATCTTAGTTCCAGGGGATCTGATACCTTCACACCAATGCACATAAAATAAAAAGTTAAACAAATAAAAAAATTAATTTCCCTCATTTGTACAGGGTTAATGAATTGTACTAAATATGTAACTTCTTACCTATGTCAGTTTGATCATAGAAACTAAAAGAGTATTCTCTAAAAATTTTTAAAAAAAAATAGGAAATAATCACAGAAGTGATGGACATTATCTAGTAGTTCCATTTGATACAGTAATTGCACTTCTAGTGATACAGTCAAAACAAATCCATATATCCACTTAAAAACCTTCGCATGAGTGTTTATGACAGCATTAATAATAACAACCAAAAGTGAAAACAACTTCAAGTGCTGAAATGGACAAAATGTGGTACATCCACACATGGGATATTATTTAACCCAAAAAAGTGCAAACACATGCTATAACAAGGATGAGCCTTGAAAACATGACAAATAAATCAAATGTTGTATGATTCTATTTCTATGAAATGTTCAAAGTGGAAAAATCAATAAAGAACAGATTCAGCTTCCATAGGGCTGAATAAAGAGGAGGAAATAAAGGGTTTATTTCAATGAAGCTTATATTTAAAAAATTATTTTAAGGGAAAATAGAGGGAGTTGGAGCAATGGATCAGTGGTTAACAGCACTTGCTGCTCTTGCAGAGAACTGAACTCCTGTAGAGAACCAGCATCCTCATGATGACTCACAACCTCTTTAATGTCAGTTCCAAGGGCTCCAATGCCCTCTCTTGGATTCTGTGAATACCAAGTAACAACATGGTGTACATATACATAAAGTAAAATAAATAGACAGATAGATAGATTTTAAAAATCTTTAAAAAAATAAAGAAAATATAGAAAGGTTAGGAGAAAACAAAACTCTCAGAAGCCTCTCTTGTGTGTGCACACGACAAGGTTGTAGATTCTGCTCAGCCAGTGTAAAGCTGATTCCAAGGTACTGTTTTCCACTCCTGCCCTGCCATTGGTACTGTCAACCATGCCGCTCCTTCTGAATTGATAAATAAAGGAAATGACTTTATAAACATCCCTGACTTCAGCTTCCTTGCAGTCTACCAGGTAATTTTTTTATATTATTTATTTATTTTTGTTTTTTTGAGACAAGGTTTCTCTGTGTAACAGTCCTGGATGTCCTGGAACTCACTTGTAGACCAGGTTGGCCTTGAATTCACTGAGATCTGCTTGCCTCTGCCTCCTGAGTGCTGAAATTAAAGGCATGTGCCACCACTGCCCAACATATCATGGTCCTTTTAACAACAGCTCTCAACTGACTGTTGTGATTTAAGAACTATGAATAGAAATCTTTAAGAAAAGAGCCCTAGAGCCAGGTCCAGTAGTTCATACCTACAATCCAGCACTTAGGAGTCTGAAGCAGGAGGACTGGCCCAAGTAAGTGGTCACGCAGGACTATGCAGTGAGTTCTAAACCAGCCCCGGCTATACTGTGAGAGGCCGCGTCTCAACCTTACCCCTACCACTTCACAACCAAACATATTTTAAAAGATACTAATTTTTCAAACTGTATATACTTTTAAGGCAGGATTCAGTTTCTCATAGGCAGTCAGGGAAAAGGTCTATGGTCAAACTACAAGCTGGTCAAATAAGCATGGATACAAAGAGAGCATAATCCAATCAATAGCCAGCACGACACACGACAAGGTTGGAGACCAGCAACAACTATGGGGTAAGCAACTTGCAATACTAGCCCATGTTTTTGTCAGCCAGCAGATCAGCTAAGGTTGGCAGCTAACAAAGAAACTTAAAAATGGGCAGATATGGGCTTCAATGAGTGATCACTATCATAACTGGGCAAACAACATGTGGTCATCTCCAGCTGAACCAGGGAGGTATTTACAGAACCTGCTGTCTCCCTGTCTGCTTGGCCCAAGGATATGCCTAGAGAATGAACCAATTGCAATAAAATTATGTCTTTGTCCAGTGCTGTCTAAGTCCCCTAAGAAGCCACTAGACATGCAGCTCAGCACTCCCCTTCCTCAGGACACTTCACACTGTGAGGAGTTTCTCTAATTTCTCCTTAGTAAATCTTCATTGACTTTGTGTATTCCTCCTTTGTCTGCAATTTTATCTATCACTCACATGAGACACAGAACTCAGACACTGTCTCAGGTTGATTAGTAGTCACCTTAGCCCCTGGGTCAAGCCTTTTGGGGCTGAGAGAAACCTCTTTGCTTTCAAAACTCTGTACCATCACAAAACACAATATATTAAGATTTCAACGTTTGGGTTCAGATATTCAAATAAGCAGATTACCTTTAAAGCCTGTGATGATGAAATTGCATTCTCTTCATTTTTTTTTTAAGTAGCTACTTTTTAGCATTTTTGTTTCAGGGAGAGAAGTTATGTAAACACACTTTACCATCCAACAAACTCCCAGCCATCTGACTTACACTGCAAGAACTATGGAAGACTGGTCTGTGTGCACATTTGTTCTGATGGTCTGAAAACTCTACACTGGAGTGCTGACAGCACAGGACAGTCAACTGGAGGAAATGAATTCTACGTTCAAAACACCTTTGACAAGAGCTGGAACAACAGAAGCAATGCCTCATACTGTCTATATAGATTTCCCTATCTTTGTTTCTAATATTCTACTAATACAATTTAAGGGCACTGTGCTGGCTAGTTTTCTATCAACTTTACAGAAGCTAAAGTCATCTGAGAGGAAGGAACCTCAATTAAGAAAATGCCTCCATAAGCCTGGGCCCTAGGGCATTTTCTAAATTAGTGACCGATGTGGGAGGGCCCAGACCACTGGGGGTGGTGCTATCCCTCGGTTGGTGGTTCTGTCTTCTATAAGAAAGCAAGCCTAGCAAGACATGTGGAGCAAGCCAGTAAGCAGCACTCCTCCATGGCCTCTGCGTCAGATCCTGCCTCCATGTTCCCACAGTTTGAGTTCCTGTCCTGACTTCCTTCTATGATTAACAGCGATGTGAATGTGTAAACCAAATAAACCCTTTCCTCCCCAAGTTGCTTTGGTCATGGTGTTTTATCACAGCAACAGTAACTCTAACTAGGACAGGCACTTTGGTTCAAATATTATATTAATATTTATTATGGAAAAATAAGTATTAATATGACCAAAATGTGTTATTAATTTTCTGACAGCTAAACATCTCCCTCTAGTGGAATATTTGATTTTAGAAAATACAAAAAACCACCACGTTGTTTGGTCTTTACATTTTTTTCTATCAATCTCAATAGTAAAAACGTACACAGCAAAAAACATCTGCTTTAGTTTGCTTTTCTGTTACTATGATAAACACCACTCCCAAAAGCAACTTGTGGGAGGGAAAAAATGTATTATCTTACACTTTCAGGTCATAGTCCATCACTGA